TATATATATATATATATATGACTTTATATTACACTATCCGTATATATGTAACTCTATGTTACTCTATCCGCGTGTATATATGACATACATACGCGGATAGAGTAACATAGAATCACATACATACATATACTTATATAAATTATGCTATAAACATTAAGTATGATAAAAACAGCAACTTTTATATAAGACATTCTTGTTAAAATTTACAAAGCAAAACAACTTTCATTATCATTGAAAAATAAAAAGATACATAAGACAATAAGGAATATATATTATAGGATATTTGTTAGAGATATGATAATATATGAAAGCCCTCCTATATCAAATTTCCTAAATGCGTTACAAAATAAGGAAGACAAAATTACTATTGGAAAGGAAAGCCAGAATTTTCTATCATTTTAAGCAAGGAACTTCTTCTGTTAAAATTTATGAATTACTGTTTACTAAATTACTCACAATATCGTGATAAATATTTGAAGAATTTATTTAAGAAGCGTGGTTTATCTTTGAGATTAAAATTACTAAGTCAATATTTTGAAAATTATCTCTTTACAGTTCTTATGAATGGCGCACAATTCTAATAAACTTCTTACATATATACGACATATATATCATATAATGCTTTCACGGTATTAATGTTCTCTTTCTCTCTCTCTTCCTTTTTCTATACATATATACAGGGGTCTGATAATTGTAACACATGAACTCCATAGGGGCGTCCAGCTAAGCGACAGGATCAGAAAAGTCCTCTTCCATTTAGTGATAACGCGTCTACCCATATAGGGTTTGCCGGACATACAACGAATCCAATGTTTTGCCAGAGCTATGGCAGTTGAAGTATATTAGCTAGTACTGGACCAGTACTAGTCGATGCTTGGCCATTGAAGTCTGGCGTTATAACGAACGCCGACGCTTAGCCAACATACGGCGACCAATTATGAACCAGACTTCTGTCAGCCAGTACTCGGCCAGTATTGGTCGATGTTTGGCCATTGAAGTCTGGCGTTATAACGAGCGCTGATGCTTGGCAAACGTACATCAGCCAATTCTGAACCATAATTCTGTTAGCCAGTATTCGGCCAGCACTGGTTGGTAATTGACCATTGAATAGTCTGACATTATAATGAATGTCGGTACTTGCCCAATTATGGCGGCCAATTATGAACCAGAGTTCTGTTAGCCATAATAATAATATCTAGGTTTAGATACATGTCTGGGTTATGGTACTTTTACCTTTACCTTATTGGACTAACAAGGAACATTAGCGAAGTGTATGTCTAAAATTTCGATGAAACTTCGCATATTTATAGAATGGCCAAAAATAAGAGACCCATATTTTTTTATCAGTAATGGCTCAGGTTTAAAGGGTGAAAATATCCTTCAAAGTTTCATGCCCTTTTTGGTATCTCTGTAACTACTGGAGATAGAAAAAACTTTTTAGCTCATTTTATTTTTTATAAAGAACCGCATAACTTTTGTCTAAAAAGATTCTAAAGAATGTTCCTTGTAAGTTTATTAGTGTCGGATAAATGCCAACGACCACCCAGACAGCACACAATATTTATGATAAGTATTTATAAATATTTATTTTGAATTATTTTTTAAAAATATTGTATAAATATTTTATAAATATTTTATATACATAAAGGAAAAAATATCAAAATCTTTACTTAAAATATTATTAAAATGTAGACTAAATATTTTATATAATATTTATTGTAAACAAAAAATAAATATTTATAGTAATATTTTGTGTGTGTAAATATTTTAATAAATATTACACATGAATAATAAATTCAATTATTTATTGTTAAATGTAATTGTTAAATTAATGAGGAAATAAGAAAATCGAAATTTGTAATGTACACTGAAAAGAAATTCTTTAAATTAAAGAAATATATTTTGTTGAATATAATTTTTTAACTAAAAAAAATATTTGTTAAATTTTACAAGACATGTAATAAATATAAAGTAATATTTTTTAAATTTGTAAAATGAGCTGTAATATTATGAATTTCTAGAGAAACAAATTATTTCATTGATTTAAAATATCTATATATAAGAATAAGCAAATAATTTCCTTACAAGGAAATTAGTTTTTTAAAATATAAAAACTGTGTTTAAATAAACATTTGCTTATCTTAAAAGTAAATAAAATACAAGTAAATCATTTTATAAATCTAAATAAATTATTTTCTAATATTAAAAGTATCTTTTTGTGTTTCAAATTAAAGTTTCTTATCAGAAAACAATTTATTTAAATTTACAAAATGATTTATTTGTATTTTACTTACTTTTGAAATAAGTAAATATTTTTTAAATATACTTTTTTTTTGTTTTCGTGCATGAATATATACCATATGTATATAAAACAAAGCATTTTTCAGTCAAAGTGACAGAAGGTAGTGCAGTAAGTAAAGTAAACGATTTAAGAACCAGAGGTCTCAGGTTCAAATCTCAGCAATGGTAAGCAAATTTCGAAGTACAATTTAAATTGAATTAAGTAGCATTTAAAACAGTAAAGTGGAAAATTTAAGAAAAAAAAGAAAAATATATATAAGTATTTTTGTTGTGCTGTCTGAGCAGTATCCGATTAATACTGGTATGCAACATTGGGCCGATGTCAGTAGCTAGTATCGGATGGACATTGACACCCAACATTGGACCGATGTCGGGTGGCCAATGTTACCAGATCTGGCATGGATCCAGGTTATCATCCAGATAGAAGCTGTTGTGTTGCCAGTGTTGTATCAATAACTTTTACTAGCATTGCGCCAGCACTGCAAGTCTGGCAATCAGTACTGACCCATTACTGGGCCGATTACTGGGCCGATTTAAATGGGTATTTAAAAACCTATGTGGGTAGTAGGCGTAGCTCCTGAAAATCGTCTCGAATCAGCTGTTTTCTGAATTGCATAAAAGAAATATTCAAATCGTATTGAAATCAAGTGTACATTTATAACAATACCTACTTGAAAATCGACAATGCGCGACAACGTGCAAACTTTAGTTGCTGTAATTTTTTAAACTGTTTCATACATGCAACTAAAGTCTTCCAAATCGTTCACTTCTTCTATTTTATAGAATGCAAATGCACATTGGGGAGGGTCGCGGAAAACTTGAAGAATGGTAGAGAGCAGTGTATGTTCCAAGTGGAAACTAACGCGGCGTAGAGTCGGAGCAGCTCTTTTACGAGTCCTTTTAGAAGCGTGCAAGAGCCCTCGTTTGAAACTACTCGAGCGCAGTCTCGATCGAAGCCACGAAAAGACATGCATATACATACTCACGTATTTCATTGAAATAGAAGGGGTATTCTCCCGGTACCGAACAGTTGAGTCGCGCTTTCAAGAAACTTGTCCATCTGTCGTTAAATGCGTGTGGCCCGCCCTTGTCGTGCTGACAGACTCTGCCAACGCGCGAGTATACTGCCTAAAATACGAATCAAGTCATCAATCGATTTAGTCTATATACATAGAATGTTTATTGGAACGGTCTTCAACACTTTTCACCCTCCAAATGATAATCAGGATTATTTATGTCCATAGCTATTTTAAAAAAATGTTTAATTCTCGGAAGCAACTCAACCCTGCATCTCTTTCTAAAAAAACTTTTTGATGAAGAGAACTCACGTACTGCATTGGAATAGACATTTATATTACTGAATGTCGAATGGTACAAATCACATATGGACATAAATGACCTTGGTTACCACTCAACTATGCTAAAAGTGTAAATCCTAGCCGTTTGTGTGAGTTTTATTGAATTATCTCTTACATAACCACCTATATAAAAATGATAAAAGAAATCTTATTCCCAAATAGGGTCGCCAGTAGTAACAACGAAGCCATCGCTTTGCCGAAGTTATGGCACCCAACTATCGGCCAGAATTCTGTCAGCCAGTACTGGCTCAATGCTGGCAAATGACTGGCTGCCGAACGCTCGACCAACGTATGGCACCCAATTGTCGCCCGGATCTCTGTCAACCAGTATTTAATCATTATTGACAAATAGAATAGTACTTAGAATAGTACTTGTTAGTAGCAGTCATTAATATTAGAATTCGTTTTATTACATATGTCTTATACTTCTTATACCGTTTTTCGGAGAAAAAAGTTTCTTAAAATTTAATATTCGTACTTGTTCAATTTTGGTTTGTTTAATTAAAATATATTATATTCTTAAACAAAACATAATTTTTTAAAATGATGAAAATAAAAAACTTTTATTTCATCCAAAGAAACCATGTCATTTGATGAAACAACACTATTGTTTGAAATAGTATTCTTTAAAAGTTTCTTTCAAAATTTACTAATTCGATTTATTTGATTTGGATTTTCTTGGATCTTTTTATTTTTTTATTTAGATTAATAATATATCATCATAATATAATAATAATTATTATAACATTCTGTTAAAAATCTAAAAGTAATTATCTACGTTTCACTACATTATATCAATATCCATTGCATATCGAATGTTATTGCATTGCTTCAATATTTATTAATAAATTATCCAACAAACACTAAATAAAAGTTATATAACTGTTATTTGGTGTTTGGTAGGTTATGTTATAATATACTGTGAACACTATAAGAATATATTATACAAGCATAAATCATAAGAACATCGTTGGAGTCATTGGAATCACCGCGTGCCATTTGATGGCACGTCAGGTTAAGCAACATTTTAACGCGGTCAGAACAAGAATGGATGACCGCTTGGGATTGAAATTATCGAGGGAGGATTCGCGAAAGTTTGGAGCATGATTGTTAACAATCTTCGGTTCCTGGCGGTTTATGAGACATGAGAAAATTAAAAATAAATATATTTTGATATAATATTATGATTTTCTCATTTTTTATCTTTACACAATAATTCTCAGTATTTGATTACTATCAATACTTAACAGTGATTTTGTTATCAGTATTTACCAGAAATTAAATACTGGCCAAAAAATTACTAAATTACTGAATTGGCAGTACTTAATCATTAATAACCGATTGTACTACCAATGCTGGGAAAGTACTGGCTAACAACGGTTGGGCCAGTACCATTTACCAGTACTGGGCCGAAGTTATCATTCCATAGTATTCCCATTGGTAAGCCAGTCATGGTCGTCATTACTGTGCAAATATAGGTGATCGGGCGACCAATCTTGGGCCAATACCCCTATAGAAATATCATACTAAGAATCATTGATAATTATTTATTTTCAGTATTAAAAATATTGGATAATAAGTAATTATCAATGATTCTTAGTATGATATTTTTATAAAGGTATTAGGCCAATATTATAATCCTATATGGGTTTTTATTGCGTAAAATGCGATATAACGGTATGCAACGAACATCGACGCAATACTTGTTAAGCTTGTACAAAATCAATTTTTTAAAATTTGTATTAAATTTGTGTAATGTAATTCTTACCTATTTCTGTTTAAAAATAATTAAAATCAAGATATTTATTAATTTATTTTTTACAATATGGTTATGTTCACTTAGAAGAACAAAGGATATTTCTATCATTTTTAAGGATTTTTTCAGACTTTATATACTTTTAATATCTTATACAGGATTTTACTATTGGTCTAATACTGACCAAAAATTGGTCGCCAGATTACCTATATTGGCGCAATAATGACGACCATGACTGGCCCAACTGTTGTTAGCCAGTACTTCTCTAGCATTGGTAGTACAATCGGTTATTAATGATTAAGTACTGCCAATTCAGTAATTTAGTAATTTTTTGACCAGTATTTAATTTCTGGTAAATACTGATAATAAAATCACTGTTAAGTATTGATAGTAATCAAATACTGAGAATTATTGTGTAAAGATGAAAAATGAAAAAATCATAATATTATATAAAAATATATTTATTTTTAATTTTTTCATGTCTCATAAACCGCTAGGAACCGAAGATTGTTCACAATCATGCTCCAAACTTTCGCGAATCCTCCCTCGATAATTCCGATCCCAAGCGGTCATCTATCCTTGCCCTCACCGCGTTAAAGTGTCGCTTAAACCTGACGATCGAATGGCACGCGATGATTCCAATGACTCCAACGATGTTCTTATGATTTATGCTGGAATAATATATTTTTATAGTGTTTACAGTATATTATAACATAACCTACCAAATACCAAATAACAGTTATATAACTTTTGTTTAGTGTTTGTTGGATAATTTATTAATAGATATTGAAGCAATGCAATAACATTCGATATGCAATGGATATTGATATAATGTAGTGAAGCGGGGATAATTACTTTTAGATTTTTAACAGAATATTATAATAATTATTATTATATTATGATAATATATTATTAATCCAAATAAAAAAATAAAAAGATCCAAGAAAATCCAAATCAAACAAATCGAATTAGTAAATTTTGAAAGAAACTTTTAAAGAATACTATTTCAAACAATAGTGTTGTTTCATCAAATGACATGGTTTCCTTGGATGAAATAAAAGTTTTTTATTTTCATCATTTTAAAAAATTATGTTTTGTTTAAGAATATAATATTTTAATTAAACAAACCAAAATTGAACAAGTACGAATATTAAATTTTAAGAAACTTTTTTCTCCGAAAAACGGTATAAGAAGTATAAGACATATGTAATAAAACGAATTCTAATATTAATGACTGCTACTAACAAGTACTATTCTAAATACTATTCTATTTGTCAATAATGATTAAATACTGGTTGACAGAGATCCGGGCGACAATTGGGTGCCATACGTTGGCCGAGCGTTCGGCAGCCAGTTATTTGCCAGCATTGGGCCAGTACTGGTTGACAGGATTCTGGCCGATAGTTGGGTGCCATAGCTTCGGCCAAGCGTTAGTTTCGTTGTTACTACTGGCGACCCTATATGGGATGTCCCACCTGTTGCGTCGTGCGCTCTAATTTGTCCAACTATTTCTATTAATATCTCGAAATTTTACGTGGTTGTTTGAAAAATGACCTGTACAATATTTATTCATTTTTATCTGTTCTAATTATATTTTTCTTCTTGGACGTCTTATGCGGGACACCCTGTATACAGGGTTTTCTTACACTCTCCTCCAGGTATTTAGTGGGGACGTAGAATGGATTGATGTGAACATAAAAGTCCTATACCGTTTTGCGAAATTCGTAATAATAGTCAAGTAATTAATTGTGAAAGATTAAGGAAAAGCGTGTGCTAAATGATAGAGGACGGACCGCTTGAGTCACAGCGCAGCCCAATAATATAGCGCGCAGATGTCGCGCGTGGCGATTGGAAAACAATACATCACTGTCTATACTTGTACCACTGTGCTCCTACATCGCCCCTAAGTGCGGTGCGGCAAGACGTAGGAGCGTAGCGGTATAAGTATAGGCAGTGGTGCATTGTCTTCCAATCGCCACGCGCGATACCCGCGCGCTATATTATTGGGTCGCGCTGTGACTCAAGCAGTTTGTTCTCTATCATTCAACACACGCTTTTCCTTAATCTTTCACAATTAATTACTCGACTATTATTACGAATTTTGTAAAACGGTATAGGATTTTTATGTTCACATCAACCCATTCTATGTCCCCATTACACGCTCGGAGGAGAGTGTGAGACACCCTATATATAGGGTGTCCCGCATAAGACGTCCAAGAAGAAAAATATAAGTAGAACAGATAAAAATGAACAAATATTGTAGAGGTTATTTCTCAAACAACCACGTAAAATTTCGAGATATTAATTAAAATAGTTGGACATATCAGAGCGCGGCGACACGGCAGGCAGGACATTCGGCTTGCCGCAGCTGGTGAAGAAAATGGACGATTGCTATCTTATAAGCCAGAGAGGTGGGCCATTTGGCATACTGAAATGCGTATATGTAATACTACTATATGACGCGTAGAGAAATTTTTGCTATAAGAGAGAGTGAAAGAAGACTGAAGGATAGAAGATGGACGGTAACTGGCTCATTAAAAAAGAGTGTTCTATGATCGCAATGCGCAAGCGTGGCGACAAAATGTAAACACATATAAAATGTGAACATAGCAACGTCTTTTCGACGTCAATCGACAAGTCATTTCTCACTAGAAATATATTAAAGAAACTGAGTAATTGATAATAAATAAGAAAAATAAATATGGAAACTATCTATAACATTGTGTGTGTGTGTGTGTGTGAAGTTAGTTTCGGAAAGCCGTCAGGTTTAATCGTATTGGCTTAGATCATGACGGAAGGGTAAACGTCACACACGCGCTTTGCACAGACAGAACACTGATATTGATATAGAAAAAGACAGACGAGCATTGTCTGTACCGTAGTGTTGCGGTACCGATGAGAGTTCTACGCGCCACATATTAGTATTACATATATGCTGAAATGGATAGCTTCGTGTGTACGTCCGTGTACGTGTGCACTCTTCGCCGGTCGCGGCAAGCCGTATATCCCGCCTG